TATTCAAATATATTTTTGGTATTTTGCGATGGTTCGTTATTTTCAAATTTCATAAAAATTAAAATACCAATCATTCATACCGAGTCAAATTAACATGTAACCAAAATAAAATAAATAACAAACCTAAAAGCAAACAGTAAGTTAAAAACCTAATATGTTTGGAAACTAAAATTACAATTTTTTGATTTCATGTTGAAGAAATAGAAATATTTGATTGATAAGCAACAATGTAGGGTAAGTGTGTGTGGGATGTTCATACCAGATGTGGTGATAAAGTGCTATTGTAGACCAAATGATAGAGTTAAAATTTTGGAAATTCAAGAGTTGGATGGCAGTGTTAAACAAATGAAGCAAAGGGCTATCAGTATGTCATCCCCAAAATTTTGGGATTTTGGTTTGGAATCAGGATTTTTAGAAATTTTTTAAAGCCCTACTCTTTCATTCACCAACCTCTGCATTTCGATTACGAACAAAAATAAAATGAACAACTTAGAGCATTTTCAAAGAGGAGTCAAAATGTCTATATCAATAATAACAGTAAAAAGATAGGTTTAATGTTCTCCAACCTAAATGTCAATTCCTATGATGTATGACGTGGATTAACATCAAAGGTGGTTGCTGACAAATTTGATAACAACTTCAAATCTATTCATACTGATTAATAAATGTTTTCTACAATTATTATTTTTTGTCCTAGAGTTCCTTATTACAATTATAAAAAATAATAATCCACAAATAATAATTTAAATTTGACATATTAGGTAGAAAAAAAAAATTAAAAAAAAAATCAAAGTGTCATATAAGATTATCTTAAAATGAGATGTCAAATTTTAAACGTAAAATTTAAATTTGAAGGCGTATTGGCACATTGATATATTTTTAAATTTTTTCTCCAACTAATATGTAACATCCCATATAGACCAACGGAAGGGACGATGTGCCTTATATGTACATGTCCATCTCCATATGGTACAAGGCCTTTTGGGAACTCATTGGCTTCAGATTTCATCGGAATTCCGAAGTTAAGCAAGTTTAAGCAAGAGCATTCCTAGGATGGATGACCTACCGAGAAGTTCTCGTCTGAGTTCCAAAAAACAAAACTGTGAGGGTGTGGCTGGGGCCTAAAACAAACAATATCATGCTACAGCAGAGTTGGGATTGAGATGTGACATAATGGTATCAGAACCACTCTACCGTGTGGTGTGAGTGTGCCGACGAGGACGTCGGGCCCCTAAAGGGGATGAATTATAACATTCCACATCGACCAACGAAGAGGGCTGATATGCTTTATATGTACATGCCCACCTCCCTATAGCACGAGACCTTTTAGAAACTCTCTGGTTTTGGATTCCATCGAAATTCCGATTTTGTCAGGTGACCCACTTGAAAGTTCTCGTTTGAGTTCTAAGAAACAAAACCGTGAGGGTGTGCCCGAAACTCAAAGAGGACAAATATCATGCTACGACAGAATCGGGATTAGGTTGTGACAAATATGTCAAATTTAAACTATTATTTATTACTTTATTTTTTTAATAAGAAAATAAATATATTAAAAGGAGAATTTTCTGGAACAACCAAAACCAATATAATTAAAGTTAAAAGCTTGTAAGGACAAAAGGGGGGGAGACGGTGATTCTAAAAGTGGGGATTCGCAATTGAAACCCCTGCATCAGCCAACTTATCAATCACAAAATTGGCTTCCTTAAAAACATGCCTCTAACAAATAGAGTGAAAACTAGCAGCCAGCCATTTAATGTCTTAGATAGTAGAATGAAGATAAGTATAAAAATTATGAAATAAATTTGAAGCTGTTGTCAAATTTAACAGCAAATTTTTTTGCTATTTTTTCATGTTATGCCACATATAAATTAACATTTCAATTGTAAAACACTATTAAAATCATTTTTATTTGAGGTTCGCACATATATAGGAAATTTGAGTTCAATCAAATTAAAAGTAAAATATCAATCTAATTTACATATTAATATAACATCAATTGTCAACCAAACTCTATAAATTTTCATCATAACCCTCAAATTAAAACTGAACATAAATAAATAAAATTGAAGAGTAATGTATTTTAATACAACTAAAATTTTGCTCTTTTATAAACTTCACCGTTTTTTAACATATCTTTAATTAAAAAATAAAAAAGAAACCTCATTTGCTTTCTCCACACTTTTATGTTATTTCACTTTCCCCCTCCTTTTATTTTAAAAACAAAAATAAAAAATATTTACATCACTACAAGCAAAAAATGTGTGTAAATATTTTTTATTTTTGTTTTTAAAATAAACAGAACAAAGAGAATGTGAGTGAGAGAGGGTTTTTATTTTTATTTTTTAATATTATATATGTTAGAATTACGTATAAATAAGGCTTGAGAAAAAAAACAGTAAAATTTGATGTATGAAATTGTTTTTTTTTTTTTTGACAAATTATTGACCATGTTTTTAGAAGGAATATAATGGTAATTTATAGAATTTTGATTGACATTAGCATGTAATCAACAAAAATATAAGAGACGATCAAATTAATTTTATATCCGAAACGACTTCAGTGATTAATTAAAACCAAGGAATTATCAAGAAAAGAAAAGAAGAGAGCGGGTGTAATAAATGTTGCGACTTGTTCGAGGCCAAAATCAAAACCAAAAATTTGACAGGCACGGAGAATCACTTTTTATTATCGCCAACCTTCAATGCAATTTGCGCCATTGTTTTAATTGGACGCCCTTGCTCTGCAAATTGGCTTCTACTTCCACAGAAAGCACTTCTCGAATACAAATTTAAACAAAACTATTCGAAATAAACAAACACAAAACGATCTGAGACGAAAGAAAAACTCTAGGAGATTTTAACTGAGAGAATAGCAGCAAAATCTGTAGGAAAAAAAAAAAAAACGGCAGAAGGTGAAGGAGAGGCGTCGAAATTTGTTCGATGAAGAGAGGTTTGCTGTAGTCATATTTATAGGAGCGGAGGGTGAAACCCTAGACTGCTCAACTCTCTGTGAGAATGAAGGAAATGACGAGTCTGCCTATCAAAAGTTGGGGTTTGGGCTGGTGGGCTTTCACATTAGTTTGTGCATGTCATCGGCGTGGATGCTCTCTCAATTGAACTAAATCACATTCACGTGTGTCGTATGTTAATACAAATCTTGTGGTTATAAAACTCTAATATTTTTTATTTTTTTTAAAGAAATCAGCTAGTGACTTCGTTACATAGTCCGGTAGTTTACTTTTCGGATTTCGAGAAGATTCATATAAATATTTTAGCTTATTCTGATTACCAACGTGTAATTCATCAATGTCTCGTGTGCAATACGAGCTTGGAATTCATCGCCAATTATCAGGTCATCCCATGACAGTTTTCTTATAATTAGTTTAGACGGAAAAGAAAAACTCATATAATTAGTAGTATTATTAGGCTACATTTGTTGTACCTATTTAGAGGGGACTAACTTATGTAGGATTTAGTGTCTCATAACTTTAGAATTAGTGTCGCATATTTAGTGGAGTAAGGATTAACATTAAATTAGACAAGGTGGGACTTACCTAGACTAGGAACTTCACTAACAGGGTGTTAGCAATCCCGTGCTTTTGGGTGGGATTGCTAAGAATCCCGCAAATCTTGCCTTCTCCTTCATCTCTACTCTTTAGCCACCAAATGACACAATGTCGATCTCCACCATTCCGTAACAAACGGGACATTGTGGTTAAACATGCTATCATTCTTGGTCTAAATTCAACTTTTCCTCTTAGTTTTGGCCAAATCTATCCATGTATGTCTCATGTGTAAAGGTGAAAGTGTATTGATACCTTTTTTTTTTTGGTTGGAGCCTATTTGATATTTAAGTCATGTTTGAAACATTTTCTTTTCATCCTTTAACACGAAGTGTATATAAATAAAATTTAGATGGGAACTAGGAAGATCACGGCTGGTTTTGAAGTACAACTCTACAAAGTGTTTTCTGTCAATAGGCCTACATGTAATCGGGCTGTTAGAATACAAATAATTGTTGGTGTGTATTCTGATAAATCACGATTCTTCATGATCAACAGTAAATCAATAAACTTTATCTTGCGCATGCGTGCAAACACACCGTAGATATCACTTATCTCTTATCCCCCAGATAAATAGTTTCTCTGTTTCATGTAAGAGGTGGCATATCTTTTGACCCTTGAATTTAGTTTAACGATTCAGATTGAATAAAAAAGGTACTAGAAGGCATCGAAATAGGAAGGAAGATAATTCAGCTTTATTTAGTAAGCTAATGTCAAATACTTTAGCACCGATGTATTTTTGCTCATTACTTTCAAATGATGGTATTTTGTATGAGAATGTGAATATCTCAAGCCAAATACGTGGGCAATATGTATTTTTGCTCACTACTTTCAAGTGGTGGTATTGCCTATGAGAATGTGAATATCTCAAGCTAAATACGTGGACAATACAAATTAGGTGACGTGAAGCACGTGTGACCGTTGAACTTCAGATGCAAGACAATCTAGCTCTGTTACCATGAAGAAGTTGGAGTTTCACCATAAACTAATTTGTAATACCTCTTATAGCCCCTTGCAAGGTTTTTTGTCTCAATGATGTGTGACTCTCTTTTGTTTTTACATCTTCACATTGCTCACCACCCTACTTGATACCATTAGATGAATTTAAAAATTTGAGATTTATTTCTATCCAGTACACTAATATTAAAATTTAAACTAATTCAATGATGATAGATAAGGTGGTGAGCATCACCATCATTTGGGATGTTAAAAAAAAAGTATTCCTTAGGAATAGAGACAATTCCTTCTAAAAAAGAAAATATCTTTGCTCATCTCATTCAAGTGATGATAACAAATCTCAAAATTTAAACTGTTATCAAGAAAAAAGACAACCAAAATAACGCAATTGGGACTCAGTTGACACGTGCCGCTTTACGTCCATGAATGCCTTATATAAACGAGTCACTACTTCTCCCGCCCATAATTCCTGACTGTCCGAGTCAGACTGAGCTAGCTCGCTCGCTCGCTCGACCTTTTTGCCCTCTGTCAACCTGTGCGCGGTTCGATTCCGAAATGGAGGAGGAGATGGACGAAACCGATGCTCAACCTCAGGTCCATCTCGACTACTCTACCTCGCATATTTTCTTTTCTCACTTTCCGTTTGGTTGCCGAGAAAATGGAGGAAAACAAGAAGATTTAATTGAGTTTTTGTTTGTTGTTCGGGTTCCGTTGATTTTATAACGAAGTAAACGGAAATCATACAGAATTCGCTACTCACTGGAAGAAAAAATGACGCAAGTTGCTTTGTTAGGTTAAATTTGAGTTAAGTTGGACTCAAAAGTTTGATTTCCTCCGTTTGGCCGCCCAGAAAATCAAGAAATGTAGACTGAACTGTTCACCTATTTTGTTTCATTTTTTGTTGAATTATGGATAAATGCGCTAAATTCTATCTAGTACTAGCTAAGCAAGCTTGACCGGCAGTAATTGATCTGTTTCTTTCTTGTTTTTTGTTTTGTTGTTTTGGGGTTCAAATGCAGGTGTATATGGCGTGCATTCGACATGGCCATCGGTGAGTCCTTAGTTATTACCTTACCTAATGTTTGGTATCAGTCTGTATATGGTTAATGTGGTTACTCATTGTATATTCCATATATTATATTAATATTTACATTCCATTCTTAATCAAGTAGTAGAATGCATTTGAAATTGATGACTTTGCAACTCCTTCATTCCAGTGTTGGAGTTTCTTATTACGATTCTAGCATTCGCCAACTTCACGTGCTGGAAGTTTGGGAAGATGGCAGCTCAGACTTCCCCCTAATTGATTTGGGTATGATTTTGATGTCTCATTAGGCAGACAATTTCCTTTACCCTGCTGGTTTAGTACTGGACTTTCTGATTCGGATGATTTGATGGGTTTCCTTCTCACTCAACTTCTACTTGTGTCTGATACCTTCACTTTTATTTCAGTTTCAGTTTAGTGAGCGTAATAAAATGTATCTTATGTGTTTTTATATGCAGTAAAATATCAAGCCAAGCCGCTTATCATTTACACAAGCACTAAAAGTGAAGAATCATTCTTGTCCGCTTTACAGCGAAGTGGTATGTTGCTGTTAATTGGTAGGTTCTGAATTTCAGCATGAGGACAGCTGTTTACTTTCTAAAGTATTGCAGATGGAATGACTGAGGCTTTTACAGTAAAGCTTGTGAAAAGTTCAATATTTAGCTATGAGCAAGCATGGCACAGGTAAAAGAATCAGATATGCATGCTCTGAAGATTTTGTTAAACATAACTGAAGTTTTAAATTTGGCCGAGTGTAGTAGGCTGAAAACAATTAGTTTCGTGAGCATATTTAACATTTTTTTTCTCCAAAAGCTCACATGGTTGTAATTTTCAGAGTGTCTTCTTAAGTACGTTTGTGCAATTTCCTTCACATGGTTTTTCGGTAGCGAAATTCAAAATCTAAAACTTCATCTATGTTCAACCTTTGGATGGCAAACCTTCTTTGCATCTTTTTAATGTAAGTTTATGTCTTCCCATGAAATCATTGATCAGCATTTCCATTCTATCATATCCATGTTTATCCAACATTATATCATATGCTGATAAACTACAATTTTATGTGTTATTGGTGGTGTCATAAAAAAGTTTATGTGACAGATAAGTCACCCCTCCCACTTCGCTCTCTCTCTCTCTCTCTCTCATTCTTATTGTTACTATTACAACTACTATTATTATGATTAATACAGGCACTGTGTTTCATTCTTATTCCCATTCTCACTTTTCATCTTTATCATCATCATGTTGTTAATTTTGTTGCTCAATTTACAGATTGATATACCTTCGAGTAACAGGGATGGATGACGGATTAAACATCAAGGAGAGAATTTGCTATGTACGTTAGATAGCTGTATATTTATATTTCATAGCTTATAAATCCTTTTGTATTGTGGTCCAATTGGTGTTTTTAACCCCAGGATATTACACTTAGCTTATTCATGCCTCCTAGGTAATGGATGTGCTCTGTGTGCGCGCATGATCTATAATATGTGTATTTTGTGTTCTATACATATCTATCTTCCTTTTGTCTTAAACAACGATGGATGTCTTTATCCTGTATTGACAATGAATATCTTTCTTTGTTTGTCAACTGTAGTTGAGTTCTATGATGGACATGGGAAGTGATGTTCAAGTTCGTAGTAGTGGTGGCCTTCTTGCCATATTAGAGAATGAAAGGGTTGTAGATACGCTTGGACAAATGGAAAGTGGGAACCCATCCATTGCAATTGATTCTGTTATAGAAGTGTCACTGTATCTTTTTGTGTTGTTTACAATGTTTAGATTCCTTTATTTCATTTTACTCTTGTTGGTGGGGGTTGGTTAATTCATTCAGGGATGATACTTGCAACAAAATGTACTCCTTCACTACCAAAATAGAAATAATTTCCTTAAACTGGATGCAGCGGCTCATGAGGCACTGCAGATATTCCTAACAGATAAGCATCCAAGCCATATGGGGATTGGTAGAGCAAAAGAAGGGTAATTTCTGAATAGTTTTCTGGATAGTTTCCTTTGAAAACTATTCTGATGTGTTTTAATTGCAGGTTCTCTGTATTTGGTATGATGAATAAGGTCAGTAGATCTTTCACATTTTTCTCTCTTGGTTGACTGGGTTTCCCACCTTTATATCAAGCTAATTTACTCATATTTAAATTCAGTGTGTGACGCCAATGGGGAGACGTCTCTTGAGGTAGACTTTGTGAAAGAGAACTGTGTGATGCCACTGCCTTGGATGTTATCTCTAACCCAAAGTCCTTTTAACAAATGTTAATTTTTCTCATACCAGAAGCTGGTTCTTGAGGCCAATACTTGACCTTGAAGTTTTGAACAACCGTCTCAATGCCGTATCCTTTCATTGTTAAACTACACTACTGCTTAAATATGACTTGTATCTGGTAGCCAAGAAGATTAATAATAGTTTGAATCATGTTAGTTAATTGATTTCAAATTGAGATCAGTGCATTAAGAGCAAATATTGCCTCTCACAGCATTTGAATGAAATGTTTTATAATACAGAATTGACTTCGAATCATTAGCATAAAGCTATTTTCTTTGACAATAAAGATATCATTCTTTCTTTCTTCTGAAGAATTGATAAATTCTTTACATGGAACTCTGAAATCTGTAAAGGACATTCCTCACATACTCAAGGTACCATTCACTATACTAATTCTTCTCCTTCTGCTGCTTTGTGTCTGGATTTCTTTCCAAAAGTAAATGTTATGGTTGGTAGATTTGTAGCTACAACTGGAGTCTGGTTAAAACTAGAGCTCTTTCTGCGCAACTAAATATCAGTTATCCCTGTTTGCTCAATTGGTTTATTACTTATGTTAAAACTTTCCATACTCATTGTTTCTGTTTTGAAAACAAGGAATGTTTGATTATAGTGTGCCATCTAGTTTTTAAACACAGTTGTGGCTTTTATGCCAAATATTGACCAGCGTAGCGATAACTATATTTTCCTATTTGTTATCTTTCTACTATAGGAATGGCTGTGTAGATCTGGCAATGTCTGTTTTGCGAATGTTGTGTGTAATTTTTAAGTTGAAGCTTACATATTTTTTTTTGAAGAAATTCAACTCTCCGAGCTCGATATGTACCAGCAGTGATTGGACAGCTTTTTTAAAGGTATGTTTTTAGCTATGCTATGCACCTTTAACCCTTTTTCCTGATTGTTAAATGTCTTCTATCCATCAGGCAAATGAGTTCAAGATACACTAGGTTACTGGATGGTGTTACGATTCATTTTTACCTCTAGATGTGCTTGTGTTTAGAACTTAGTAAAACCTTAACGATCAAACATTAATGTCATGTTCACTATGATATACCATACTTCCTCTAATTCTCTTCGCTGATTAGTTTCCTGTGTGGCACTTGTCGAACTCCTAGTAAGACAAACACCAAGCTCCTTATGAAGAATAGAATGAGTTGTGCATTTTTGTTCATGAATGTCGCCATGATTTCATGTCCACTTCAAATGAGTTGTGCATTTTTGTTCATGAAACGTGCCATGATTTCACGTCAACCTCAACTATCTTATAAACTTTGATTCTTAGATCATGTATGGCATCATACCTCTTTCCTAGCTTTAAGTTAGGTGACATAGAAAATATCTTTTTTTTTTAGCTTTTACTGGGATGAAGTTTTCAAATCAGCAACCAAAGTTCAACTCTTAATGGTAAACATGCTAACATTGTGTAAGAAAATAAATTTATGCATGACTTTTAGAATTAGATTCTCAGTCTTTGAGAGTCTTTCTTTGCTATTATGTAAGAAAATAAATTTATGCATGACTTTTAGAATTAGATTCTCATATTCTTTGAGAGACTTTCTTTGCTTGTGTCGAAACATTTCAGAGATATTGCTTCTAGTTGAATTTATCTCAATTTGGGGTGGGGGTAAACAAATTGTAGTATGTGTTTTCATTTGAGGGAGCTTGTCCTACTTAGTTGTATTTTTCTTCCATATTTGTTAGTAAGGTTTTTGTCTCTTACAAAGAAGGGCTAATTGAACCTGAGCAGAATTTATAAAGAGTGGTATAACAGTGTTGCGCAATGTTCAGAGAAAGCTTTCCTCTTTTGACTAAAAGAATTCTTTATGATTTTCTTGTAGAGTGTTTGTTCACTCTTGCATGTAAACAAGATATTTGAAGTAGGTGTTTCAGAGAGTCTTCAAGAGCATGCAAAGTACTTCAGTTTGGACATTGTTGAGAAGGTATGATGATATTTATTTTGTTGCATATTCTGTTTGTTCTACCTTCTCTTTCTGTTATTCTTATATACTATTTTGTTTCTTGGTCTGTTGTCTGAATTTATGCAGGCTGCTTCATGCATTACAACTGAGCTGGCTTATGTATATGAATTGGTAAGTTTATGAAGCATTCTTCATTTTTTACAGCTGTTCTTGCAACATCAAAATGAAATTTGATAAGTGTAAATCCCATAAGAAGAAGGGACTAATCTTTAGTTGAACAAAACCATGTCTAAAACCCTACAGTCCGCACCTCATGTGGTAAAACAACTCTAGAGAGAATTTCATTTGATTTTTCCTTAAGTTTCCCTAATAAGATTGAGAATGGTTTCTGAGATTTTTTATTCAGTTCCCCGTAAATCGTTTGCATCCCAGGTTGGTGAGAAGGTGTGTCATACCTGGTTTAGCCTTCGGTGGTTGTGGAACTTATTTCCATTTCCTCTTTGGTGAGAAGGTGTGTCATACCTGGTTTAGCCTTCGGTGGTTGTGGAACTTATTTCCATTTCCTCTTACGCCCAGGATTCTCTGAATGACATATGTATAATTGGAAAGTGAAGAATCTTTTGTCTTCATTTAGTTATGCTTCAAGCCAACATAACAAATGTTTGCTACTCTTATTGGTTTTAATCTTCAAAATTGTTTCCCTTTAATGCGTTATTATCGTAATATCAACAATGTCTTTTGTAGGTAATTGGTGTTCTAGATGTAAGTAGAAGTAAAGAGAAGGGATATGAGACGATTGTGAAAGATGACTTCTGTGACGAGGTTAGGCATAAGTCCCAAATTCCCATTCTTAATTGTTCAATCAGATTGCATATTCACCTTATGCGTCATCTACCCATTGTTGTTTTTAGTTTTATATTTACATTTTGTTTATGAGGTTAGTTTCATGTAGCGTTTCTGTTAGTTCAATATTGAAAGGGTATAATTTATGTGTTCAACTTTTATGTGTCTTGATATATCTGTAGTCTGTACTGCTGGGTTTGGCTGAATTTGAATTATTTGTAATGCTAACAAGTAATTCCCTTATCTTCTTTTATAGTTAGATGAGCTGAGGCAAATATATGAGGAATTGCCTGAATTTTTAGAACAGGTAACTGTTATACAGTTCTTTTATAGATCTAATTAGAAAGTGGATTGAAGTCTGACTTACTTACTAGTTACTAAATAAGATTCTTTTGATCTTACAATTGCCTTGCAGGTGTCTCAAATGGAACTTGAAAGACTTCCTCAGCTGTACAAAGACAAGCTTGCTCCTTGTATTGTTTATATACATCAGATAGGTTGGTTTTAATTTTGTACCATCTTAAAAAGAATTTTGTTGGGTGAGATGCATTTTATTTAGATTCTCCTCAGAAAGATTGCCCCTTATTTGTCAGACAACCTGTACATGATGAAATTTCAAAAATGACTTTTATGTTTTATTGTGGTATTTCCCTGCACACTTTCTAAATGCCTTTTATTTACTGTTGATTTTTAGGATACTTGATGTGCATTTTCGAAGAAAAATTTGATGAAGCTACCCTGGAGAAGGTTCAAGATTTCGAATTTGCTGTGAGTTGAAATATAGTTTAGTCTCTATAACTAATATGCATTTTTATGAGGTAATATAGCTATCAAAATTAGTTCTCTGATGCAGAAGGAGAAACAAAAAGGTTCTTTTATTATACACCAAAGACACGAGAGCTGGATAATTTGCTGGGAGATATCTATCATAAAATACTAGGTAATGCATGATAGTCTGAACATCAATATTGTGTTATAGCAGCCTAGTAAGCCCATAACTTAAATTTAATACTATTTAATTAATGAGACAGTCAGAATTTTCATGCTGGTTTTAATTTTTATTATCTTTTCTCTACAAATGTTTCATTCATCAAATTTATTGATAAAGATATGGAGAGGGCAATCACTCGAGATTTGGTGTCGCATATACTTCTATTTTCAGAACACCTGCTTAAGGCTGTAAATTTTGCAGCTGAACTTGATTGGTGAGAATCATTTCAGTATCAGTGCTCCGGCCTAGTCCCTTCCCTTCCCGCATCTCATTCTTTTTTTTCGTCTTAGTATATTTGTCTTACTAAGAAATACTTATATCTTCATGCGGACATTTAGCTTTTTGTCATTGGCACTGGTTGCTCGTCAAAACAATTATGTGAGGCCGACGCTGACTATGGATTGCTTGATTGATATACAAAACGGAAGGTGAGACACGCATGATATATTTGCATTATTTGATGGACAATACTTCTAGTGGTTATTTATTTACGTAGGTATAGTAACAAGAGTTTTTCAATTTCCAGACATGTTTTGCAGGAAATGACTGTAGACACATTTGTTCCAAATGACACAAAGATCGAAAATGATGGTAATGGAATTATACATTTAATTGCCATATTTAATTATGGTTTGGCTCAGTTCAGGAATATAACAATTCCCATCTTTGGTTTCCAATGCTTCTTTCTTTCCAGGAAGAATTAATATCATCACTGGTCCTAACTATTCAGGGAAAAGCATCTACATAAAGCAGGTCAGTAAGGCTGTCTCTGTCTCCCTCCCTCTGTCCCCCCAACCCACCACCAACATCACCACCCCCCTTCTCTTGCCCACCCCGTGGGCGCACGTGTCCTTTTTAATATGTGTTTGGTTTGTGGGGCTGTGTTTCTATCATTCATCATTCATTTAAGTTCTACAAGTCCACAATATTTTATCTGGATATGAAATATTGGAACTTCTTTCCAAGCATCTAATCTCTTGGTTCAGGTGGTTGTGACTTGTGACAAATCAATGATTCAGATAGGCAGGGGTAATGAAGCTAATGACAATTTATGTAACAAGGACATTCTCTTTTAGGATCTTTGTGCCATGTCAGAAATATTTGAATGTTTTTGTGCAAATACCATGCTGAATGTTGATGTTGGTATTGAACTTAATTTCGTTCTATGGTAGTCCTCTTGCTGATTTTTGGTGTCTCTTTCACATAGATGGGCATTAGCTATGCCTCTAGCATAGAAATTTTTGCAGATCTACACATATTGACAAAAATTCCTTTTTCAGGTAGCTTTAATTGTTTTCCTGTCCCACATAGGAAGTTTTGTACCAGCGGATTCTGCAACCGTTGGCTTGACTGATAGGTTTGATCCACATACCGACAGCTTTCTTATGTACAGTGTTATGCTTGTATGATATTGGTCAAAAGTACAATAACCATAGTTTCTATTTCTATTTACAGAATATTTTGCGCAATGGGAAGCAAGTTTATGAGTGCCGAAAAGTCAACATTTATGATTGATTTGCATCAAGTAGGGATGATGCTAAGGTATACTCGTTAGGCTTCCCTGTGCTAAATTGTAATCATATTATGTGTGATAAACCTGAACTTGCGTCTTTTTAGTATTATAGGCATAACTCTATGTGCTCCAGTTATAAGATTATCTTATTGGCATGTGCAAGAGTATTTTTGAAAGGCATAGTACTTGTTAAGAATGAAAAATCATTTGCATTTTCTGATACTACTAACTAATTATGGTAGCACAATATCATTGTGTTAAAGAAATGTGACTTTTGTTCAATAACAAATGACTTGGATAATTACATTGAACAGATATGATTACTAATTATTGGTTGCCTCCTTTCTGGTTATATCCATGCACAGTATTAACATAAGTATTCCATTTGATTCGCATGCATTCATTTGAGAAAATTAACAGGCAGGCGACTTCAAGGTCTTTGTGCCTCGTTGATGAATTTGGTAAAGGTACTCTTACAGAAGGTTAGTTTTCCACACTCCCTCGCAAACAAGAAAAAATTCTTGGTCTGAGTTTAGCAGTTGCATTATTGCGTAATGTTCTCATGGTTGTTTCAGATGGTGTTGGTTTGCTCGGTGGAACTATAAACTACTTGGTTTCATATGATGACCCCCCAAAGGTTTCAGGCTCCTCTTCATACCATGAGGATCGTGTTACAAGTACCATCTATTTCTTCCAATTAAAGGTCATTTTGTATTGAGCTTTGCAATTTATTTTGTAGGTTCTGGTGTGCACTCATCTGACTGAGTTATTCAGTGAGAGTTGTTTACCTAAAGTAAGTAAAGCTTGAGTTACTATACAATACTTCCATACTTGAATTGCGTAAGAATGAAGGGTAATATCTTTTTGTTCTTATTTCAGTCCAAGAATATCAAATTTTACACTATGAGTGTGCTGAGGCCTGAGAACTCTACAGATATTGAGGATATTGTATTCCTATATAGGTAAACTTTCATTACCTCTATACGTTGCATTGCTGCAAAGGAAATGTGGCATTCTGTCAGTAACAAATTAGATGGAATTCCGTACGAGGTTTATGCCTATGGTGGTTTGGATCACAGCGTTCATGCTTAAAACATGTTCTTTAATCTTAGCATATTCAGTCTGCATTAATTCTGTATCATCTGACCACTAGGCATGTATCTATATCATGCTAACTTGTTTTCTTGTGTGAGATAATTGTGTCAGTGGATGGCACTCTAGTTGCTTCAATTACAGAACCAGTAGGCGATTATAATTCCTGGGTCAAAACAGTTTTAACTGCGTCTTAGACTCAAATTATCAGATATAGCTTTATGAAGTGTGCAGTCATTATTAGCAACCTCTCTGATTCCAAGCTCATGGATATGTTGATTTTCTATGTTTCACTGCTGGTCAATGCAATTTTTCTATTTAATGTATGTAATTTCACCTTCATTTCTTGCAGGCTAGTTCCTGGGCAGGCACTTCTTAGCTACGGTGAGTATTGTGATAGAGCTTGACCAAATATATACATGTCTATTGTGTGTACTTGTATGTGTATGTGTGTGAGATATATATATATATATATATAGAGAGAGAGAGAGAGAGAGAGAGAGAGAGAGAGAGAATGTGAATGCTAAGGTTTTAATAAGAACTTGCTTGGTTCAACTGTGTAAAAGATAAAACATGATAAGTGCCGTATTGAAATACTGATCAGAAAGTGTTTTAGCACCTGTATATATGTATATTAATGCAACAACTAAGTTGGGAATGCCGATTTGGATAATGTTATTTGTAATCAGTCTCTTTACATCCTGCAGGTCTGCATTGTGCTCTACTTGCTGGTACTTTTCCAAAGCTTAAAACTTGTGTTCGCGATTTTCAGAAACAGGGGAAAAAGTTCCATTGAGTTTTCCTTGTGTCACACACACACATCCATGGGCGAGCGCACACATGCATATGTGCGCATGCATATACATATGCAAATTCATGAAATGAGTCTGGGTTATTTCCTTCTTGTGAATAAAATCTTTATGGACTCTTGGTGGCTGCTCTAATTTTCCAGTAGAACTAATTGTACTGGTTATGCAGGTGTCCCCGAGGAAGTTATTCAAAGAGCATCATTTATATTGGACGCTCTTGGAAACAATAAACACGTTGAGCGATTGTGCAATGAGAACGTATCAGCTATGGATCAGCAATACCAGGTTTCAATCCCAAAACTGAATCTGTGATTCAGAATTGAAAACATGACGTTAGTAACACTTGCCCTGCAAAACCATGAGATGGAATGTCGCAATCCTACAATACGACGGAATAACATTTGTCAATCATATATTTCTGTTTTAATTGTACAAGTTTCTATATCTTTATGATTTTTTTTCCCTTAATTCAATTGCAGAATGTAGTGGACAAGATGCTGGCATTTGATTTTTGCAAAGGCGATGTAGGCTCGTTTTTTCAGGATTTATTTCCAACTGAGCCTTAAAAAATTACTAAAGGTAATTAAACCCCAAAGTTATTACTTTATCTTCTATTTTTCCAGGAAACTTTATGAGCTTTCCAGATAATTTTCCCACAATTGTGAATGCAGAAAGATAAAAAGTTGTATCTGGTTGGCAATTTATGAGGACTGAAGCATTGTCTCTACCGTCAATGGATGACAACGATATCTTCCTGTCTCCATCCAAGAGAAAGGTTGAATCATTGGGCCAGATAATTCTTCTATCGTTTTTTCTCCTAGGTATAAGTAGCTCAAATTTTGATGTCATACGAAGCGCATGATGCTGGAATATAATCGTTTCCTTTGCATTTCAAAATCTGTCATGATGCTTTGTTTGTTTTGTAATGGTACACATGTAAACTCATTCATTCACTCTTTACTGCACATGAACTTAGCCCAAGTATAACCTCCTAACAAAGCCATATCATATCGAGATTGCGTCTTTCGTTTGGAGTCTGGCCCGAGCATTTTAAAGAGCGATTAACTCCTTCACAGTCATTGGGGATGCGTATTTTGAAGGGCCATCGAAAAAATTTTCCACTATGATGCCATGAGTTGCCTGTGTAGGATGGTAAAAATCCCAGAAGACATGGTCCCTTCTGTTGGAGCACAAGGATGCAACTGGCAGGCAAGGACCCTGGGCCTTAAGCTTCCCAATCCCACAGCATGCAGCTTTAGCCTCTGTAAATCCTGAAATCGAATGCGAAATTTTTGGTTTGTCAGTCGAGTTAACTTAAAATTCTTCCTCTAGTTTCCTACAAGGGCGGCTAAATATCGGTTATCATGATTGATATGTATTCAAATTGATGGTTTAACTACACAACATGCTTGATGGAATTGTACATAGATTATTTCTGCTTATGAAGAAGGAAAAGAACATATGAGTACCGTAAGAAGCTGCGTTTTGCACGATGTTAGTCAAGACAGTGTAAGTGTTCAAGAGGGTGTAGCTTATGCCCAACGCCGGTTTCAATTGCTGCAACATGGACTTAAGGGCTTCATTGTACATGACAGACAATGAGTTTGCGCCATCATTGCACTCTTCTGTATCTAAATCCCTTTGCGCCGGACAGCATCCAACCGGCCCAGTCCCGACAACTACAAATTTTTGGGCGCCGAGAGCATGTATTCTCTGCCAAACAATGAAGAAAGAAACACATCAAGCATTGAAGTGCAACTGAAGATTCACTATGCAAACATGGAGCTAAGCCAATGTGTTCTCGTTACCTGTAATTGTTCCTTTAGATTTGACGCCATCAAAACCGCGTACTGCTGCGGCGTGTATTCGCTTTGGAGCTTGGAGTTTTTAATGTAGCCGAAGATGTCATTGCTTCCAATCACGATCAAAAACAGAGATTTTGAAAGATGGACTTTGGCGCCCTCGGATCCTAACTGTAGCCCAATGTTTTGATGTACTTCTGAGTAGTAGTTTACTTGGTATGACAAAGGTATTGACTGACGCTGTGACAGCAAGAGCAAAATAGGCAAAGCATTAGTTGTTGGACAGAGATTCGATTTTCCCTTCATAGGCCAAGTCACGTGATGAGCGTTATATTCAGGATAGAGAAGAGTGTATCTTTAGTGACGCATCAGATTTCAGGTTCGCTCATTATAATTTGTAAAATGATAACGTCACATGACAGTGGTCCCACTACAAAAGATTTCTCTTTATAAGAAGGTGCTAAATTGACAAAAAAAAAAAAAAAAAGAAGGTGCTAAAGAATAACACCCAACTTTTCTTGTGAAAGCTTTTTCACCAACTTTCATAAGTAGGGTTACAAGGATCCTACCCAGCTCATGTAAAAAACGAATTGGATTCTAAAGCATTTTTAGCGGAATATATTAACATGTGCTAAACCAAGGATGATATTTTTCTTTTTCTTTTCTTGGGTCTGTAGCGTTATTTTATTTTTTGAAAGAGTGTTGAATTCATTGCACTTACAAATTGTTTATCTGAACCATTGAAGATTCCAGCTCCTCCGGAGGCGAAGCTAACTCCATTGACGAATGACTCCTTTTGCTTGTTGAACTTGGATACAAGTGACAGGTATGGTGGTGACGGTGGTAATCCTACTTTCTCGGCTGCCAAACAAAAGATAACAAGATTATACATACTACGTACCCTCTCATTCTCTCAACATGCATAGTTGTCACTAGTCATGATTTATTAACTGATGATATTAAACCTACCAAGAAAATCTGCAGAATTCTTGCCATTACCAAACCTCCCCGTGGCTACTTTGCCAGGATAATCAATCCCGTTATGAGGAAAATTTGCCTTGGCAAGAGAAATTTTTAGGTAATTGTTGTTACCGACGTCCACTAACGAGTCTCCGAACACGTAAATGGCTGGAACCATCTGAGCTTCCGAAAGAGGGATGATGAAACTAGAAGTGAAGAGAGAGAAGACGATGACGAAGGAAGCCATTGGCAAACCATCAGTGTGATATTTAGCCATGGTTATGAACGAACCGTGTCTAAAGCTCCCTCAAACTTTCGTATGTAATGTTTCTGTGTGATGGTTTGAGGGACATGAACAAGTGGAAGCCCTCTTATAGAGGGAGATAAGTTGATGAGTTCACAAATTTCGAGTATGAAAAGTATAGGTTTTACCCGTGTGGGCTCAAGCAGTAGCAGCAGCACTCATCTGAAAGACTGAAACCTCTCATTCTGACAGTAAATTGTCATTACGTATTAGATATTTTATAATTTGTTCCACTCTTTGTTTTCTCTTCCCAAAATATCTATCTTTTGTCATTGGAATTACTTTTCTTTTTAAATACAAGTGTTTCTTGAATTACTTCTTTTTTTTTCTTCATTTAATTGTAAAGAGCTATCCTGATATATCAATTTCATTAATCATGCTTCGATCATTTTCGTGAAAAATATTGAAGTTTTACTATAAAAATAATTAGTAATATAGGAGTTATTCAATCTTTTATAAGTTCGTGCAAAGTTTCTTCTTTCACTGATGTGAAACTCTTTTACCTACACATTCTTACACGTTCCCTCACGTGTAACGAATTTTCAAGTCAAACATATGAACACTAAGAATTGGGTGACATGGAGAACTTATGGCTGTTGGGTTTCACACATGAGCAAATATACTCTGATATCATGAAAAAAGTTGAGGTTTCACCATAAAACCAATTAACAATATGACAGTAACCCAACATTTTATAAGCTTTTGTAAAATTTCATTTTTCACCGACGTTAAACTCTTTTACCTTCACATCATCACACTTTGTCTATCTCCATTGATCATGCTCATCATTCCTTAATTGTTCTTTTGGTTAATAACTAACTTCTCTGTTGATATATTGGTTGGTTTTGCTAGTTTACCTTTCTTAGTTACATTACCATTGCATAAATATTGCCCAATGAATAAACATTGAATTTCCAAATTATTCTCGACTATAATTGTTATTTGAAACAACTATATATTTATAACGGGTAGAGAGTAAGTTAGTGACAAACTCGCTATTAGGAAGATTCAAATTTTATTGAATTATTCTCGCGTATAATTTAGCATCATTAGAATTAACATTAATCACATATTTTGTATATAACTAATTGGTTTTTGTTGCTACAATTACATTTTTCTCTTTCCCGTTTCAAAGAACAAAGGGAAGGAATAAAATCATAGGTCTGAACACAAAATGGAAAAAGGATACGGAGAAGAAGAAAGAGACATCATGGGTTGAAGTGGGGTTCCATCAGTGTGTTAAAAGTAGGCCAGTGATCTAACATTGGAAATGGGTTGCAGACTTGCAGTGGCCAGTCTGGAAAGTCAGTCTCTTTTTTTTTTTTTTTTTTTTAATTTTTCAATTTTTAATCTCATATGATGCCCATGTAGATATTCTCTTGCAACCATTTAACGACAGGGCAAGTTTTTGTTAAGGTCAAATTTTTTTGTGATCTTTGTGGTAACACGTCATTTTCGATGTGATATTTGTGGTGAAAAAGTTTTTAATTAAACCTTTGTGGTGAGCCTTGTTAGCAATTGAGGTCCAAATCCAAATTTTCGTTAGTCTTCTGTTAAATAAACTTACGTGACTATCACATGAAAGGTGAAATTCCTCATTTCAATCCAAATTACATCTTATTCAATGGACATCTAGTATAATTTAGGGTTTAATTGAAATTAGATTTTACAAAAAAAACTTGAATGCAAAGACTAAAACTAAACTTGTAAAACTACGTCAATAGCTTGGAGAAGAGGTGAAGGTGAAGGTGAAGTTGCGCCTAATTTCTTAGGTATGGTTTAATTTCATTTGGAATCCTAATAATTCTAATTTACCATTTTTTTTTCAATGCCAACACGTCTTTGATCATAAGTTAGAGTCTTAGTACCAATTTGATATCGCTTAACTTTTTTAAAAAGCAGGTATGAAAAAAAGCACCCAGTTTTTTTGTGTTTGGTAAACTTTCAAAATCAACTTTTTTTCTTTCATAGTTTTGGATGAAAAAAGCTAAAAAGGCAAAGTAGCAAACCTAGCTTTGGAAAACCAGCTTTTTATCACAATATACGGGTAAACCGTGCCATTAAGTGATTTTTTTCAAAATGGCAACCTTACCTTCTCTTTCTCCTTCATCCCAATTCTGGACTCCACCCCCTTTCTCCAGTCGCTCTCTGGCACCGTACTAACTAGATTCACCACCCCATCCCCTCCATCTCTTCTTACTCCCCAGATTCACCACCCCTTCTCTCTCCCAATCCCCACCAAATACACCCATCGCCACCTCGCAAACCATGATCCCAACCCACTCCCTGCTAGATGATAACCCAGATCCCACCCACCCATCCACCAATGCACCTTCCAAAACATGTAATGCCCTGGAAATCGAAATGCAGGAAATATAAATGGGAGTGAGGACGAAGGTTCTAGATCATCGGAACTGAAAGAGAAATGCGAAGGGACGAAGGTGGGTGAGGACTTCGAAATTTCAAGAGGGATCATTGATGAAAAATGGAAGAAAAGCCAGAAACATTTAGGC